TCTTGCTGCTGGTGACTCTCAGATCCACCTCTCCGCAGACGACACCATTTTGTATACATCTGGCCCTTCATTGGACACTGTGTTAACAAACCTCCAAACGAGCTTCAATGCCATACAACACTCCTTCAGTAGCCTCCAACTGCTCTTAAACGCTAGTAAAACTAAATGCATGCTCTTCAATCGAACGCTGCTTGCACCCGCACGCCCGACTAGAATCACTACTCTTGGCGGGTCTGACTTAGAATATGTGGACAACTACAAATACCTAGGTGTCTGGTTAGACCGTAAACTTTCCTTCCAGACTCACATTAAGCATCTCCAATCCAAAGTTAAATCTAGAAACGGCTTCCTGTTTCGCAACAAAGCCTCCTTCACTCATGCTGCTAAACATGCCCTCGTAAAACTGACTATCCTACCGATCCTTGACTTCGGCGATGTAATTTACAAAATAGCTTCCAACAGTCTACGCAGCAAATTGGATGTAGTCTATCACAGTGCCAGCCGTTTTGTCACCAAAGCCCCATATACTACCCACCATTGTGACCTGTATGCTCTCGTTGGCTGGCCCTCACTACATATTCGTCGCCAAACCCACTGGCTCCAGGTCATCTATAAATCACTTCTAGGCAAATCCCCGCCTTATCTTAGCTCATTGGTCACCATAGTAACACCCACCCGTAGTATGCGCTCCAGCAGGTATATCTCACTGGTCATCCCCAAAGCCAACACCTCCTTTGGCCGCCATTCCTTCCAGTTCTCTGCTGCAAATGACTGGAACAAACTACAAAAATCTCTGAAGCTGGAGACACTTATCTCCCTCACTAACTTTAAGCATCAGTTGTCAGAGCAGCTTACCGATCATTGTACCTGTACACAGCCATTCTGAAACTACCTCATCCCCATATTGTTATTTACATTGTTATTTATTTTGCTCATTTGCACCCCAGTATCTCTATTTGCACATCATCTTCTGCACATCTATCACTCCAGTGTTAATACTAAATTGTAATTATTTTGCACTATAGCCTATTTATTGCCTTACCTCCATAACTTACTACATTTGCACACACTGTATATAGATTTTCTATTTTCTATTGTGTTATTGACTGCATGTTTTTGTTTACCCCATATGTAACTCTGTGTTGTTGTTGTTTTTATCGCACTGCTTTTCTTTATCTTGGCCAGGTCGCAGTTGTAAATGAGAACTTGTTCTCAACTGGCTTACGTGGTTAAATAAAGGTTAAATATATATTTTTTTTAATGGCCAGTGATGTTATGTAGTCCTGCCTGTGTATGGTTCAGTGGGTTAGCATCCTCCTTGATCATATGGTGAGCTCTCTCTCTGAGTCTCATGGACTGTGTTATTGCCTTCAGACATGAGCATTCCCCCTGTGGTAGGCTAGAGACAGGGCAACACCGGCTGGATGAGGGGTGTGTGGGTGTCTGTGCGTGTGTGTGTGCCTGCCTGCGTGTCACTGGCGTACACGTGTGTGGAAGTGTTTAACTGTATTGACAGGACCGTTTATCTATCTCTGTGTGTGTGTCTGCGTGTGTGTGGGCGGGGGGGGGGGGGGGGGGTTTGTCTTGGTGGGTGTGGGACGTGTTAATACTTTTCTGTTAGTATCTGTGTGTGTATTTATGCTGGAGTGCATACTGTATGTCTCTTTACAGCACAAATAAGCTCTGTGATGAGTCAGAGATATTTATGGCCTGCCCCACAGGCCTCGCTTTCCTCTCTCGCTCTCTCTCTCTCGCTCTCTCTCGCTCTCTCTCTCTCTCAACACTCTCTCTCTCTCTCACACACACTCTCGCTCTCTCTCTCTCACACACACTCTCGCTCTCTCTCTCTCTCACACACACTCTCGCTCTCTCTCACACACTCTCTCTCTCTCTCACACACACTCTCGCTCTCTCTCTCTCTTTCACACACTCTCTCTCTCTCTCTCACACACACTCTCGCTCTCTCTCACACACTCTCGCTCTCTCTCTCTCTCACACACACTCTCGCTCTCTCTCTCTTTCACACACTCTCTCTCTCTCTCTCTCAACACACACACTCTCGCTCTCTCACACACACTCTCGCTCTCTCTCTCTCACACACACTCTCGCTCTCTCTCTCTCTCACACACACTCTCGCTCTCTCTCACACACTCTCTCTCTCTCTCTCTCTCTCTCTCACACACACTCTCGCTCTCTCTCTCTCTTTCACACACTCTCTCTCTCTCTCTCTCTCACACACACACTCTCTCTCTCTCTCTCTCACACACTCTCCTCTCTTACTTTCTCTCTCTTTATCCATCTTCTATCTCCCCCTCTCTATCTCTCTCTTCTACTCTATCTCCCCCTCTCTATCTCTCTCTCTTCTACTCTATCTCCCCCTCTCTATCTCTCTCTCAGGCTAGGATGGCAGAGTGCAGATCCAACTTTGCTGATGTATAAATAAATGCCTGTGTAATCGAGTGGGAATGGTTTATTATTCACTATTAAACTCACATGCTTTCATGAACAAGAAAGTGGACATTTGCATACATTTACCATAGCTCTGGATGCCTGAGCCATGGGGTGATGACATCTGAGTTTTAATGGCAGGCCAGCCTTCAACCAATAGATTTAAAGGGAAGAATCTGCAATTCACAAAACAACAAAGCGGGCCAAAAATTGATGTAATCAAAGCACATTTTAAAAAAGTCCTGTTCAAACCTGTTCAAGAGATCTCATAAAGGATAGTTATTTTCCTTGAATTGTGGGACAGGATCGTTATAGCTTGATTTATTTATTTATTTGACTGTATGCCAGGTACTCTGTAACTTTGTGTTTGTGTGTTTTCGACTCAACTCAAAGGGCTTTATTGGCATGGGAAACATATGTTTACATTGCCAAAACATGTGAAATAGATAATAAACTAAAGTGAAATAAACAATACAAAAATTAACAGAAAACATTACACTCACAAAAGTTTCAAAGGAATAGAGACATTTCAAATGTCATATTATGGCTTTGTACAGTATTTTAATGATGTGCAAATAGTTAAAGTACAAAATAGAAAATAAATAAACATAAATATGATTTGTATTTACAATGGTGTTTGTTCTTCACTGGTTGCCCTTTTCTTGTGGCAACAGGTCGCAAATCTTGCTGCTGGGGTTGCACACTGGTATTTCACCCAATAGTCTATCAAAATTGGATTTGTTTTCGAATTCTTTGTGGGTCTGTGTAATCTGAGGGAAATATGTGTCTCTAATATGGTCATACAGTTGGCAGGAGGTTAGGAAGTACAGCTCAGTTTCCACCTCATTTTGTGGGCAGTGTGCACATAGCCTGTCTTCTCTTGAGAGCCAGGTCTGCCTACGGCAGCCTCTTTCAATAGCAAGGCCATACTCACTGAGTCTGTACATAGTCAAAGCTTTCTTTAATTTAGGGTATTCTGCCACTGTATACTCTCTGTTTAGGGCCAAATAGCATTCTAGTTTTCTCAGTTCTTTTGTTAATTCTTTCCAATGTGTCAAGTAATTATCTTTTTGTTTTCTCATGATTTGGTTGGGTCTATTTGTGTTGCTATCCTGGGGCTCTGTGGGGTCTGTTTGTGTTTGTGAACAGAGTCCCAGTACCAGCTTGCTTAGGGGACTCTTCTCCAGGTTTATCTCTCTGTAGGTGATGGCTTTGTTATGGAAGGTTTGGGAATCGCTTCCTTTTAGGTGGCTGTAGAATTTAATGGCTCTTTTCGGGATTTTGATAATTAGCGGGTATCGGCCTAATTCTGCTCTGCATGCATTATTTGGTGTTTTACGTTCTACACAGAGGATATTTTTGCAGAATTCTGCATGCAGAGTCTCAATTTGGTGTTTGTCCCATTTTTCTCTCTCTGTCTCTCTCTGCCCCTGTCTCTGTTGCTCTCTCTCTCTCAGAGCACTCAGTTGAATGGCAGTAGTGAGCCGAGAGCCTCCCTCAACCTTTTACACTGGTAACAGAGGGGCCTGTGGCTTTTTCACTGGGCTAAGTGCTGCACTCAATCGGCAGTTAACTGTTGGTAAAACAAGCCCGCAGCACACAATACTCCTGCATTTACTGTATGGTGTCTAAAGAGCAGGGGGATTAAGTACAGGAGACTGTGTGTGTGTGTGTGTGTGTGTGTGTGTGTGTGTGTGTGTGTGTGTGTGTGTGTGTGTGTGCGTGCGTGCGTGCGTGCGTGCGTGCGTGCGTGCGTGCGTGCGTGCGTGCGTGCGTGCGTGCGTGCGAGAGAGAGAGAGAGAGAGAGAGAGAGAGAGAGAGAGAGAGAGAGAGAGAGAGAATGAAGTCGGGGGTCCTGTATGTGAAGAGTTAAATGACTATGTCTAATGTTCGATCCCCCAACACTGCTTCTGGCTAGTAGAACCTAGCAGGAACCCTGACTTTAGAACAGGTAGCAATAGTTATTATATAGGTTAGATAGTACACGTTAGCTAGCACACGATTTGATTATGGCTTTGAGAATAGCGAAAGACAGACAGACAGACAGACAGACTGTGTGCGATGTGGCTGTGTCCATTCTGTATACGCTGCATGCTGAGTGCTAAGGTGAGCTGCTGTACCTCATGTATAATGAATGGTTGCAGGGAGGGAGGGGACCCAGCCCAGCCCTCTCACCTGTCACATGTCTCTGGGTTGTGTGTGTGTGTGCTTGTGTACTGTGTGTCTGTGTGTGTACTGTGTGTGCGTGTGCCCATGCATGCATTTGTAGCCTAGCGGTAGCCTAGTGGTTAAAAGGGTTGGGCTAGTAACTGAAAAGTCGCTGGTTCGACTCCCTGAGACGACTAGGTGAAAAATTGGTTGATGTGCCCTTGAGCAAGGCATTTAACCCTAATTACTCCTGTAAGTCGCTCTGGATAAGAGTGTCTGTTAAATGTAAAAATGCCTGTGTGTTTGTTAACATGCTGATATGAATGGTCATTACTCTATAATAAAGCTTTAGGATTGCCCAACGGCATAACAATCCAATGTTTTCTCTTCCTCTCTACCTGCAGGAAACGGTAGAACATGTCTTCCTCGTCATTTTCACTATAGAAACCTTCCTGAAGATTATCGCCTATGGTTTAGTGGCGCACCAGAACGCATATGTGAGAAACGGATGGAACATGCTGGATTTTGTCATTGTCGTTGTTGGGTAAGTATCTCCAAGATTCCTTACTCTCCAGCCGCTCATTCAATGCCAACTGGAATTCATCTGATGAGCAGAACGTGAAGTTTTTACCATAACACATTTTTCCTGCTTGTGTTGTGGAGTCCAGGCCTTTTTTGTGTTTCAGTTTGGGGTTCGAATTTGAACTGCAGTTCCTCATTTGAACTCAATGGTTAGCTGTGTACAGTATCTTTCAGCCTGACTGTGTGCTTGTTTGTGACAGTGGTTGAGTTGGACTTCTTTAAGCCTCCTTCCTCTCCAGTCAGTATGCATCCCAAATAGCACATTATTCTCTATATAGTTCACTACTTTTGACCAGGGCCCTGGTCAAAAGTAATGCACTATTATATAGGGAATAGGGTGCCATTTGGAACATATCCACAGTCAGCAGCCCAGTCCTAAGAGAGACACTCATCCAGCTACAATATACAGTATGACCTAGAAAAGACATGGAGGATAAATCACAGCTTTACCACCACTGGAGTGATTCACCATCTCACCCCATATTCCATCTCATCTCTCCCTCCTTCTCTCGCCCACCCTCTCTTCCTCTCCTCTCTCCCCCCTCTCTCACTCCATACTCTCTCCTTCTCTCTCATTCCCTATTGTATATATCTCCCTCCTCATCTCTCGCGTCTCACTATCTCGCTCTCTCTCTCAATCTCTCTCCTCTCTCCCTCTCTCTCTCTCTCTCTCATCTCTCTCTCTCTCTCGCTCTCTCTCTATCTCTCTCTCTCTCTCTCTCTCTCTCTCTTCTGCTCCTCTCTCTCTCTCTCTCTCCTTCTCTCTCCCCTTTTCTCTTCTCCCCTCTCGCTCTTCGACTCTCTTCCTCTACATTTTTCTCTCCCTCTCCTCCTCTGCCTCCCTCCCACCCTCCCTCCTCCAATACGAACACAGTCCAGTAGGTAGCTAGGTCAAATCTATGTCTGTAAGAGACATGCAGGGTTGATCTGTCATACAGTCAGATGCAGAGAGATGCATCCTGATGCATCCTGCTAGGATGACTGACTGACTGACTACAGAACACATGCACATGCTGCCAAATCATAATAGAAATGCCACTCTAAGATAACTCCTGTCAATAACCAAATATAGACAAGTCAATATCCCCACAACTGAACTGGACACGCTGAAGTACTGCACACAGGCCAAAGGACCGCACAAACTATGTGATGTCAGATGAAATGGTAAGATTGCTTCATTGGGATCTGACATCATTATTATTATCATTTAGAATCTTAAATTCTAGAAAAAGGCCAAAAGTACTCTACAAGAATGTAAATATACAGTATTTAATAAAAGTGGTACTCTATTTTGGTATTCTATTCTATTCTGATGGTATTCTATTTTGGTATTCTATTATATTCTGATGATATTCTATTTTGGTATTCTATTCTATTCTACTAAATTCTATTTTGGTATTCTATTCTACTAAATTCTATTTTGGTATTCTATTCTATTCTACTAAATTCTATTTTGGTATTCTATTCTATTCGGATGGTATTCTATTTTGGTATTCTATTCTATTCTGATGGTATTCTATTCATGTGAACAGATGAGTGACCAATCAAACACCGCAGTACATTTTTCCACTCTGATTCAGTCCAACATCAGTTAGCTACAGCTGCTGCAGCAGTCTGTGATTGTAGCCCTGAAGTATGACCCTCTATGGCCCTCCAGGCCTCTATTGGCAGCTCCATTCAGCCCATTTAGTGCCTACTGCTTCCCAGCTTTGACGTGATGTGCTGGGATGATTTCTCCTATTGGCTAGGTGAGGACAGGCTAACTGACTGGATTTAAGCAGACACTTTTTTTTACTATAGGATATTCACTATTCACTCAGCCCATACACTACAGTATTGCACTGTATTTTCACCTGGTATTGTTGTGTATGTGTGTATGTTTATTGATGAGCTGTGTCTTTGTTGTCTATGTAGTTTGTACATGGGTTAAATACATTTGTGCTGTATTTTTCAGCTTGTGTTCTTGAAGGTTTTTTCATTTGTTACTGCAATCTTAGAAACAGATTTTATATTCAGTGTGAAGCTTATTCCAGAACTAGAACTGAGAAGTCATATGGTGATTTGCTATATCAGTAGATACCTACAGTATGTATAGTGTATATATTTTACTGCTGTCTATACATGCAGACTACAGTACAGGTGTATCATAAAAAAGTTACTTTTCAAAATACCTGTGCTGCAGCAATGGTCAATTGTTAATGTGACAAACTGTGCTTAACAGCAAGTTGGTCTGCAATCATCTAACAATAACAATGTAATAAAATGTGAACTGAAGCGTAAAGAGTATCTGGAAGAGTATAAAAGAGAAAAAAAAGATATATATAAAAAAAAGAGTACTTTAAATAATCCCACAGCACACCCTCCTAATATTATGTCAACTCTGAAAAATGAAATATTTCTAAACTATTCCCCAGACGTTGCAGTTACATCCACTTCTAGCAGCACTTTAAAAAACGTTTTAACTAGCCCAACTGTATTCATCTCTAGTGTATTGGTCTGGGCCTGTATTTATATAAGCGTCTCAGAGTAGGACTGCTGGTCTAGGATGAGTTTTGCCTTTCAGATCATAATGAATAAGATTGCATAAACAGGGAGACCTGATCCTAGATCCTACTCTGAGACTCTTTATGAATACGGGCCCTTAATCCAATGCTCCAATCCTGTAACGTGTTCTCATTCTTTCTGCTGTAATTCTATACAGACTGTTTAGTGTTGTCCTGGAGCTTTTGACCTGTAACATTCTCTTTCTGATGTGTTTCCTGTAACACGTTTCCTCTGGTGTTTCTCTGCAGACTGTTCAGTGTTGTACTGGAGCTTTTGACCAAAGACTCTGTAGAGACGAAGGAGGAGGCAGAGGCGGGTGCGGCTGCAGCAGCGGCAGCGGCAGCGCTCCACCCCTCCGCGCAAGGCCATGGGGGAAAGTCAGGCGGCTTCGACGTCAAAGCCCTCCGGGCCTTCCGTGTACTGCGACCCCTACGCCTGGTCTCAGGAGTGCCCAGTGAGTTACTGCTATCTGACCCTTCACCTTTGACCCCACAACAACACCGACCAGACCTGGGTTCAAATACTATTTGAGATAATTTCAAATACTTTATCTGGGCTCGATTGGGCTTGCCTGACACAATGGAATAGAATAGTTACAAAGAGTACAAACCCCGTCCATCTGGCACTCCAGGCAGGCTAAAGTAAATTTGAAAGGTCTGACACGAACACGGTGTTGTTGTATTGTTGTGAGTGCTGACTGACCCCTCACCTTTGACCCCCATGATGAAACAGGCTGGCTAACCTCTGAAAGTCACTGCATAACACACACCAATAAATAACACTGCGGCAAACTGTGACCTGATATAGCTGGCATTACCTCTACAAGGTTCAATTCAGTCTTCCTCAATCTTGTCTCCTCTACCATTTTGTCTTGATGTTTTCCCTCCCCTGTGGTCATGTAGTTCAGTTGCTAAGAAAATGGCGCTAGGAACGCGAAAGTGATAGGTTTGATTCCTATGGCTTCGATTCCCACATCCGCATAATGAATATGTTTACTCAACACTATTTTACTGTATGTTGTTTTGGAGAAAAATGTCCCGAAGTTACATATCTATTAGAAGTCTACTCCTGTCCTGACAGACCCTCCACAGCCCAAACCAGCCCAGCCGTTCCTCTGCATGACAGCAAGTGTTTCTCTCTCAGCTCAGAGTGTGTGTCTGTGGGGTGAAGTCACTAACAGTAACATGTGACCATATGGTCTGTGTGCAGCCCCTCTGGAATGTTCTCTTAAAACAGGCTGTCCAAATCAATGCCCCAGAGACATGAGTTCTCCTGCGAGTGTGTGTGTGTGTGTGTGTGTTTGTGCATGTGTGTGTGTGTCTCCCTCACATCCACGAAAACAGACTCTTCGACATTCTGTCCAGATGCACATGCATGCACATGTTTACATACTGTACATCAAGGTTATTATAGTTTTGTGATTTCTATATTGGTTTTGAGGTTTTTATTTGAAATTCAGTTTATTTTCTGTTAGTTTTCAGACTTCATTTACTTTTTATTCAGTTTCAGTTTGATAAAAACATTTATATTTCGTTTTTATATTATTTAATTTCAGTTTTAGGGACAGAAAGTAGCCTAATGCATGGGAGGCTAGAAGCTATATAGCCTATAGCAGGGGTACTCAAGTGCTGTTTGAGAAGGTCCGGTCACACAAATTTCCTAGGTGGCAAAGGTCCGGATAGATATTGTCTTTATCAGCATAGTAACAAACCCCAACCTTGCAACCTATGCAACCTATGCGACCCCAAACTGTTCAAACTATTCACACACTTCTTGTTGGCAAAGAGAACAATTCTACACATGCCGTCGAGCGAAGATAAAATGTAGCAGTTTCAAAGCTAATTTCTTGCAATAAAAAAAATTAATCCACATCTTATTTGTGTTCATAATATGAAAAGACATAAGACGTGGATTTTTTTTTATCGTAGGAAATTAGCTTTAAAACTGCTACATTTTATCTTCACTCCCCCCTGTCTCACCTTGTCTTTATCCTGAAATTCTTTGTGGGTGCTGTTCAGATTAACTTTGAAGTTGGTTGGGTTTTTCCATTTTATCTCTGTTCCACACATGCTGTCATCTTCTGACACTACAATAGTTTTTGTCCTTTCCAGCAATGTACACAAAACAATCCCATACAAGGCTTTGCCTTTTGCGACCGACCATTGCTGGTGTTGGGCATGCTGCCGCCATTGTTCACACCTATGGTTCAGGCTCACACTCTGCGCTCGCCCTCTGATTTCTTCCCTGTTAGCGAGTGATAGCGATGCACAAGCTAGGCCTATTTGAAACATCGCCATTACATTTTACATTTTACATTTTAGTCATTTAGCAGATGCTCTTTTCCAGAGCGACTTACAGTTAGTGAGTGCATACATTTTCATACTGGCCCCCTTTGGGAAACGAACCCACAACCCTGGCGTTGCAAGCGCCATGCTCTACCAACTGAGCTACAGGGATGCCATCTACTGGCAGCATTTACCTGCCAGATTCAGAAGCTTGAAAGCCCATTAGAAAAAAAAATACATTCAATTCAAGTAAAACCATTTTTTTAAAGTTTGTTTTGCAGTCAAAGATAATAGTTTCAGTAGTTTTAGTTTTTCAAATGTTTTTCTTAATAATTTTATTTCAGTTTATTTCCAATTTTAGTTTTGATTTTAGTTTCAGTTTTACTATAATAACCGTTTACTATAATAACCTTGCTGTACACACAGGCACACAAGTGCATTCACACACAGACTTACAGTCTTACAAAAACAACCACATACCCACACACATACTTCATACAAACCCTCATAACAGGAGTGGATTGGTGATCCAATGAGCTTGTCCTCCCCATTTCTCCTCCCCACCAGCCTCCACTGACCAATACCAATTCAACCACATACAACATTACTGTAATATACATCATACATACACACTCACACACTCTCTCTCAGACACACACACACACACACACACACCTAGCTATGTCTTCCCTATCTAACCTGTATGTTTGACTCTCTGTAGGTTTACAGGTTGTGTTGAACTCCATTATTAAAGCCATGGTCCCTCTCCTCCACATCGCCCTGCTGGTCCTGTTTGTCATCATCATCTACGCCATCATCGGCCTGGAGCTCTTCATTGGCAAAATGCACGCTACCTGCTTCTTCCCCAGCACAGGTAAGAGCGTGCGCGTGTGTGTGTGTGTGTGTGTGCATCTTACCATCTGTGTGTGTACATGACTATTGCATTTGTATTTCAGTCTCCCTCTCGGTCTCTCTCTCTCTCCCCCCGCCCCCCCTCTCTGTAGGCATGATAGCAGAGGATGATCCGGCTCCGTGTGCGATCTCAGGGCATGGGCGCCAATGTCCCATCAACGGCACCGAGTGCAGGGAGGGCTGGCACGGCCCCAACAACGGCATCACCAACTTTGACAACTTCCTGTTCGCCATGCTGACCGTGTTCCAGTGTATCACCATGGAGGGCTGGACAGACGTGCTCTACTGGGTGAGGCCCTCTGTCATAGAGATCATATCATTCACTTCTATTTCAGTCTGTGCCCTCTGCGCTCCCTGTGTGGTCTCTGTGTTAACTTTGACCTGCTCATTCCCTCTGAGAGTATCAGTAGATTAGTCATTAGGCCTGGAAGTGACTGACATTTCAATGTTAAAGGTTAAAGGTTCAGTCTATATATCTGAGTCCCAGAACCTTCCCTCACCTTTTTTATCACTCTGAACTGTAAAACTAAACTATATACATGCCTTGAGGTTTTTCCCTTGAGGTTTTTCCCTTCATCTTGCATTCTTAGCAAACAGTTTTTCTCACCTTTCTCTACCTCTGACTATCCATTCTATTCTCTCTCTCTTCCTCCTCTCTTTCTTCTTCTTCTACTTTCCCCATCTCTCTCTGGTGACGGGTGCCCCTCCAGATGAATGATGCTATGGGTCTAGAGCTTCCATGGGTCTACTTTGTTTCTCTGGTCATCTTCGGCTCCTTCTTTGTTCTAAACCTGGTTCTGGGAGTGTTGAGCGGGTAAGACACCTCTGTCTGTTTCTCTACGTCTGTCTGTCTGTCTACTTGTGTGCCTGCCTGCCTGCCTGCCTGCCTGCCTGCCTGCCTGCCTGCCTGTCTGTCTGTCTGTCTGTCTGTCTGTCTGTCTGTCTGTCTGTCTCTCTCTCTATGTCTGTCTGCCTGCCTGTCTGTCTCTCTCTCTACGTCTGTCTGTCTTACCTGTCTGTCTGTCTACCTGGCTCTCTCTCTATGTCTGTCTGCCTGCCTGTCTGTCTCTCTCTCTCGCTACGTCTGTCTGTCTTACCTGTCTGTATGTCTGTCTGTCTACCTGTCTATCTGTCTGTCTGTCTGTATCTATAGGTCTGTCTGTCGGTCTGTCTGTTAACCTGCTGCTCTGGGCTCCAACAGGTGAATGATGCCATCGGCTTTGGAACACCCGCCATCTACTTTGTTAGTCTGATCATTCTGGGCTCCTTTTTCGTGCTTAACCTTGTGCTGGGTGTGCTCAGTGGGTAAGAGGTGGAGGGGGCTGTGTGCTGGGTGTCGAGTGCTCTGCAGTGGGGTGTGGGCTGTGTGTGTGTGTGTGTGTGTGTGTGTGTGTGTGTGTGTGTGTGTGTGTGTGCTGTGCGGGGTGAAACAAGGAACGACAATGGTGTGGCTTGCAGTGTGTGGTGTTGGGGAATGGTGAGAAAGTCTCAGGGAGACAGAGAACAGATATGGAAATACTCAGTCACTGGTAATACAGTATTCCATTTGATATTGAATTCTGACTGATGCTGTTTCACTGCCCTGGCCACCACGAGTATAACCTTTGTTGACCTCTCACTCATTTTGTGTTGTGTTTCCGTGTCACAGCAACCTTTAGCAAAGGGAGCCGTTTTCCCCCACCCCTGTCACCACCACCACCCAACTTCCTGAGAGATAAATTCATCTCATTCCTCACCTTCACTCCCTCCTCAGCCTCACTTCCTAAGCTCTCTCTCTCCAAATGCATCAAGCCCAGTCTACTGCTGCTTCCATTCCCTTGCATTGGGGAGGAAGTGTTAGTGGGGGTGGGATGTTAGTTCATAATTAAGCATTAATGTGTGGTATATAGCCAATATACCACGGCTAAGGGCTGTTCTTACGCACGACGCAACACAGAGTGCCTGGACACAGCCCTTAGCCGTGTAATATTGGCCATATACCACAAACCCCCGAGGTGCCTTACTGCTATTATAAACTGGTTACCAACGTAATTAGAAGAGTAAAAATAATTTTTTGGTCATACCCATGGTATACGGTGGGTCTCATTTAAGAGAAAATTGTATTACGGTTCCAGTTAACTTTAACATTCAGTAATTGTAGATGATTACAGTAATTAATATGTCATACTGTAATATGCTATGAGTGGGACTGATTATTCAAGTAGCAACTTACATAGCAACAAGACCCACTGGGCAAAACAAAACAGCTAAAGGATCGTTTGTTTTTACAAACTGACATATTAATTTAAAATATGGCTACATGTTATATTTTCACATTCATAGCGTATTATAGGCACTCCAGCGTACACCTTTTGGTGTCTCTGTTAACTGTTCATTTGAATGACTGAACGTTTCCCTGAAGCTATTGCACCCACAATAATGGCCAGTAGTCATCAGCTTGCATGTGGTTTTGTGTGTGTTTCTGATTCCTGTGTGAAAATAGTATTACATTCTGAGTACATGCCAGTAACCACTCCCCCCATTGGTCGGTCTCTGCATCGTCTTCATCTCCTGTTGTTATTGAAAGGTGTCCATCCCCCTCCAGTGGCTAGGCTAGGATTAGGAAAAGTACACAGGCTACCAGAAGTCATAGGGATACACAGGCTACCAGAGGTCATAAGGCTACACAGGCTACCAGAGGTCATAGGGCTACACAGGCTACCAGAGGTCATAGGGCTACACAGGCTACCAGAGGTCATAGGGCTACACAGGCTACCAGAGGTCATAGGGCTACACAGGCTACCAGAGGTCATAGGGCTACACAGGCTACCAGAGGTCATAAGGCTTCACAGGCTACCAGAGGTCATAGGGCTACACAGGCTACCAGAGGTCATAGGGCTACACAGGCTACCAGAGGTCATAGGGCTACACAGGCTACCAGAAGTCATAGGGATACACAGGCTACCAGGGGTCATAAGGCTACACAGGCTACCAGAGGTCATAGGGATACACAGGCTACCAGAGGTCATAAGGCTACACAGGCTACCAGAGGTCATAGGGCTACACAGGCTACAAGAGGTCATAGGGATACACAGGCTACCAGAGGTCATAGGGCTACACAGGCTACCAGAGGTCATAGGGCTACACAGGCTACCAGAGGTCATAGGGCTACACAGGCTACCATAAGTCATAGGGATACACAGGCTACCAGAGGTCATAAGGCTACACAGGCTACCAGAGGTCATAGGCATACACAGGCTACCAGAGGTCATAGGGCTACACAGGCTACCAGAGGTCATAGGGCTACACAGGCTACCAGAGGTCATAGGGCTACACAGGCTACCAGAGGTCATAGGGATACACAGGCTACCAGCAGTCATAGGGCTACACAGGCTACCAGAGGTCATAAAGGATACACAGGCTACCAGAGGTCATAGGGCTACACAGGCAACCAGAGGTCATAGGGATACACAGGCTACCAGAGGTCATAGGGATACACAGGCTACACAGGCTACCAGAGGTCATAGGGCTACACAGGCTACCAGAGGTCATAGGGATACACAGGCTACCAGAGGTCATAGGGATACACAGGCTATCAGAGGTCATAAGGCTACACAGGCTACCAGAGGTCATAGGATACACAGGCTACCAGAGGTCATAAGGGTACACAGGCTACCAGATGTCATAGGGCTACACAGGCCTCCAGTGGCTAGGCTACGGTTAGGAAGTCTACACAGGCTATCAGAGGTCAAAAGTAGTGCACTATATAGGGAATAGGGTGCCATTTGGGCCAGCGATATACAGTATAATAGAAGGAGCAGTGCTCCAGTGTATTGATGTGTTATACTGTTAGGAACTGGATACGCAGCCATGCTTTGGTATCATATTGTCATCACGTTGACTGTCTGAAGGACACAGTTGGATTGAGCCCTCATTGCCCATTCAGTATGAACTAACTGAATTACATTTTGAATACAAATTGTGTGGTGAGGTGTTACTGAGTCTGAGCATGTGTTTGTGTGTGATTTTGCGTGTGGCGCATTTGTGTGTTTGTATGTTGCGTATGCATTTACTAACGTGTGTGTATTCTGCCTGCCTGCCTGTGTGCTTGCGTGTGTGTGGTTGCGTGTGTGTGTGTGTGTGTGCTTCTGTGTGTGTGTGTACCCACAGAGAGTTCTCCAAGGAGAGAGAGAAGGCCAAGGCCAGAGGAGACTTCCAGAAGCTGAGAGAGAAGCAGCAGCTAGAGGAGGACCTGAAGGGCTACCTGGACTGGATCACTCAGGCCGAGGACATCGACCCTGACAACGAGGACGAGGAGGGCAACGAGGAGGGCAAACGCAACCGTAAGCACCCTGCAACACACACACTACCCTGCAACACACACTACCCTGCAACACAAACACTACCCTGCAACACACACACTACCCTGCAACACACACACTACCCTGCAACACACACACTACCCTGCAACACACACACTACCCTGCAACACTCACACTACCCTGCAACACTCACACTACCCTGCAACACTCACACTACCCTACAACACACACACTACCCTGCAACACACACACTACCCTGCAACACACACACTACCCTGCAACACACACACTACCCTGCAACACTCACACTACCCTGCAACACTCACACTACCCTGCAACACTCACACTACCCTGCAACACTCACACTACCCTGCAACACTCACACTACCCTGCAACACTCACACTACCCTGCAACACTCACACTACCCTGCAACACACACACTACCCTGCACACACACACTACCCTGCAACACACCCTCACACACCCTGCAACACACACCACCCTGCAACACACACACTACCCTGCAACACTGCACACTACCCTGCAACACTCACACTACCCTGCAACACATACCTGCAACACTCACTACCCTGCAACACACACACTACCCTGCAACACTCAACACTACCCTGCAACACACACACTACCCTGCAACACTCACACTACCCTGCAACACTGACACTACCTGCAATCACACACCTACACCAACACCACTGCAACACTCAACACTACTACCTGCCAACCACCACACTACCCTAACACACACACACTACCCTGCAACACCACACTACTACCCTCGCAACACACCACATACACCCCCTCACCACACCACTACCCTCAAACACACACACACCCACTGCAACCACACACTACCCTGCAACACACACACTACCCTGCAACACACACACCCTGCACCCACCCCTGCAACACACACACCACCCTGCAACACACACACTACCCTGCAACACACACACACTAACCCTGCACACACCCTCACCTCACCACCTGCAACACCACACTACCCTGCAACACCACACCACCCTGCAACCACACACACTCACCCTGCAACACCACACTACCCTGCAACACACACTACCCTCACCACCACTACCGCACACCACACCTGCAACACACACACCTGCAACCAACACCACACACTACCCTGCAAAACCACACTACCCTCAACCCCTACCTGCACACACACACTACCTCAACCACCACTACCCGCACCCTCCGCTCCTAACCACAAACACTACCCTCAACACACACACACCCTGCAACACACACACACTACCCTGCAACACACACACTACCCTGCAACACACACACTACCCTGCAACACCACCACTACCCTGCAACACCACCAACACACTACCCTCAACACCACACACCTCACCCCACCCTAGAACCACACACACACACCTAACCCTGCAACACCACACTACCCTGCAAACCACTACACACTACCCCTCAACACACCACACTACCCTGCACACACACACACTACCCTGCAACACACACACTCCCCAAACACCACTACCCGAACACCACACACCTAACACCACACACTCCTAAAACACCACACCCACTACCACTACCCCAACACCACACACTACCCTAACACACACACACACACTACCCTGCAAACACACACACTACCCTGCAACACACCACACTACCCTACAACACACCACACTACCCTGCAACACCACACTACCCTAACCACTACCAACACACCACACTACCCCTAAAACAACACACACTACCCTGACACACACACCCACACACACTACCCTCAAAACACACCAACCACCCTAAACACACACACCTCGCCAAACACACACTACCCCTCAAATACACCACCACTACCCACAAACACACACACACTACCCTGACACACCACCACACTACCCACAACACACACACTAACCCCAAAACACACACTACCCTAACAACACCCCACACAAACTACACCTAAACACACACACACATCACCCAAACACACCACACACACCCAACACACACCAACACACACTACCCCAAAACACACACTACCCTAAAACACACACACCCACACACCCTAACACCCACACACTAAACACTACCCCGTCAACCCCACACCACCACCCACACACACCACACACCCTAACCCGCCACCAACACACACACACCCAAACAACACACACACTACCCTGCCAACACACACACTACTCCTGTACAAACACACACCACTACCCTGCACACACCACACACTACCCTCAAAACACCACACAACCCTCAACACACCTCCCTCACCCAACGTACTCCAACACACTGACCCTAAAACCACACACACCCCCTACACACCACACACTACCTAACACCACCTACCCAAACACACACACCACCCAAACACACACTCACCCAAACACCCACACCCCAAACCACACTCACCCCTAAACACCACACACCCACCCAAACAGCACACTACCTACCCACACCCCCTAAACCACTGCTACTAAAGCCACACATTTTAACACCACTCACTCTCACGCCGACTCAGTGTTACTCTACTCACCACCGCCTACCCCACACACACACCACACCCACCACACACCCACACGTCACACCACCCCCACCAACACACACACCCACAACAGACAACTAGCAACACACCCTACCAAAATACCACAATGTGCAATCAGCCCGTATTACTTGTCAACATGAGATCTAAGATTCAGCAGTGTTAGGGACTATACAGGTTTCCATTACCCCATCGTAGTCCCTTGGTACATAGTATCGGAGCTGACCAAACTCACACACAAACTACCATCCCACCACTACAGCACCCCCACCATGACTGCCAACCCAAACACTTGTAATAACGCCCGTAATATTGTTGTCAACTATTGTTATGACTCTAAAGCATATCTATATCAGGTGTGTGAGGTGCACTATACAGCCTTCCTCAGTTCACACCATAGTACTGTTAGTGGAGCTCTCTGTGTGTACCAGTTGAGTTAGTCTGAGAAGGGAAAAAGGGATAAATCATATTACTTGAGCAGAAGAAAGACTGTAATCCAAATCCTCTTTATATAAGCAGCACATGATGCAGAACAGAACAGCAAAACTGCTATTGCCCCTCCATACAGCTTTAGTACTGTACCCTCCCTCCCTATCAACCAGATACTGCTACTGCCCCTCCATACAGCTTAGTACTGTACCCTCCCTCCCTATCAACCAGATACTGCTACTGCCCCTCCATACAGCTTTAGTACTGTACCCTCCCTCCCTATCAACCAGATACTGCTATTGCCCCTCCATACAGCTTTAGTACTGTACCCTCCCTCCCTATCAACCAGACTACTGCTACTCTGCCCCTCCATACAGCTTTAGTACTGTACCCTCCCTCCCTATCAACCAGATACTGCTATTGCCCCTCCATACAGCTTTAGTACTGTACCCTCCCTCCCTATCAACCAGATACTGCTACTGCCCCTCCATACAGCTTTAGTACTGTACCCTCCCTCCCTATCAACCAGATACTGCTACTGCCCCTCCATACAGCTTTAGTACTGTACCCTCCCTCCCTATCAACCAGATAGTGCTACTGCCCCTCCATACAGCTTTAGTACTGTACCCTCCCTCCCTATCAACCAGATACTGCTATTGCCCCTCCATACAGCTTTAGTACTGTACCCTCCCTCCCTATCAACCAGATACTGCTATTGCCCCTCCATACAGCTTTAGTACTGTACCCCTCCCTCCCTATCAACCAGATACTGCTACTGCCCCTCCATACAGCTTTAGTACTGTACCCTCCCTCCCTATCAACCAGATACTGCTACTGCCCCTCCATACAGCTTTAGTACTGTACCCTCCCTCCCTATCAACCAGATACTGCTACTGCCCCTCCATATAGCTTTAGTACTGTACCCTCCTCCCTATCAACCAGATACTGCTACTGCCCCTCCATACAGCTTTAGTACTGTACCCTCCCTCCCTATCAACCAATACTGCTACTGGCCCCTCCATACAGCTTTAGTACTGTACCCCCCCTCCCTATCAACCAGATACTGCTACTGCCCCTCCATACAGCTTTAGTACTGTACCCTCCCTCCCTATCAACCAGATACTGCTATTGCCCCTCCATACAGCTTTAGTACTGTACCCTCCCTCCCTATCAACCAGATACGCTCTGCTACTGCCCCTCCATACAGCTTTAGTACTGTACCCTCCCTCCCTATAAACCAGATACTGCTACTGCCCCCTCCATACAGCTTTAGTACTGTACCCTCCCTCCCTATCAACCAGATACTGCTACTGCCCTCCATACAGCTTTAGTACTGTACCCTCCCTCCCTATAAACCAGATACTGCTACTGCCCCTCCATACAGCTTTAGTACTGTACCCTCCCTCCCTATCAACCAGATAGTGCTACTGCCCCTCCATACAGCTTTAGTACTGTACCCTCCCTCCCTATCAACCAGATACTGCTACTGCCCCTCCATACAGCTTTAGTACTGTACCCTCCCTCCCTATCAACCAGATACTGCTACTGCCCCTCCATACAGCTTTAGTACTGTACCCTCCCTCCCTATCAACCAGATACTGCTATTGCCCCTCCATACAGCTTTAGTACTGTACCCTCCCTCCCTATCAACCAGATACTGCTACTTGCCCCTCCATACAGCTTTAGTACTGTACCCTCCCTCCCTATCAACCAGATACTGCTATTGCCCCTCCATACAGCTTTAGTACTGTACCCTCCCTCCCTATCAACCAGATACTGCTACTGCCCATCCATACAGCTTTAGGTACTGTACCCTCCCTCCCTATCAACCAGATACTGCTACTGCCCCTCCATACAGCTTTAGTACTGTACCCTCCCTCCCTATCAACCAGATACTGCTACTGCCCCTCCATACAGCTTTATTACTGTACCCTCCCTCCCTATCAACCAGATACTGCTATTGCCCCTCCATACAGCTTTAGTACTGTACCCTCCCTCCCTATCAACCAGATACTGCTACTGCCCCTCCATACAGCTTTAGTACTGTACCCTCCCTCCCTATCAACCAGATACTGCTACTGCCCCTCCATACAGCTTTAGTACTGTACCCTCCCTCCCTATCAACCAGATACTGCTACTGCCCCTCCATACAGCTTTAGTTTAGTATATCTCTCTCCACCATCCCTTCCTATGAACCAGAGAGCAGCACTACACCACTACACTATCTCTCAGTCCCCAGTCTCCCTCCCCTAGAAAGTACAGAGCTCTAGATTAGAATCACGCCTCTTTCACTGCTTAACTTTAGAGCCGTATCTCTCCTGTACTCTCTACAAACTCCAGAGCTTCAGTACGGTCCCAGTCCCTCTCCTGTTTACCAAGTAGGGAGATTTAGTCAAGCATCTCTGCCATACTTCCAAATACACTGTTTTACTTAGACATTTCTCGTTCTATTGTCAATAACTGGATTTCAGTCCCTCCAGGATTCTGCGATTCTGTTATCACAATTGTTTTTGCAAAATCAACAATCCCCTGCATATTATGCGAGGGCTTGCAAATTTGACCAATCACTGCACATTTACCACAGAATATGGTTAAATCAAGCCACGCATAAACAACGTTTTTCCCTCGTCATTGCATTTTCGTGACAAATTGGACAAAATCATCACATATTCCCATGCAAAATGTCA